AAATGTTTGAGGATTTACTCAAAGGGTTCTCTGAATCATTTAATACTAAATTGACAGCTTTGGAAGAGAAAAGTGACCAGACATGTAAAACAAATTAATGATAAAGAATTTTTAAAAAGTTATAAATGGAGAGATGAAAAAATGAAGAGGATACAGAGGCAAAAAATGACAAAGTTCACAGAATCTGCAAAATTAGGAAAGGATGTCCTGGTGCATTTTGTTAGGAAGAAGAGACCAAGTTCTGCAGAAGCATTTTAATGCAAGATTGAAGGTTGATAATACAGATGCAATTGTGCTTAAAGAAATTATGATTAAAATACTGCATCAAAGAAAACTACTTCTTTCTGACTGATAGACTTATCAGAAAAATAATCCATTTTGATGGACCAGACTGGCAGAATGTTTTTTACTTTCAAACAGCATAGGTTTTAACTGAATTATATGCAGAAAGCAAGAGAATGTCTAGAAAAATTCAAAACACTGGAGACAATACAAATGGGTGTGACAGATGAGTCTATACAAAAACCTTTACAAGTGCAACTGGAAAGTGAAAGGAATGGTCCTATATTAGATATTACACATATTGACTTTTCTAAATATTTGGCTTCATTATGGATTAAAAATGCTTAATAAGGAATGTAAATGAAACACATGCCCCTTAAAATAGAAAAAAAAATATTGTTCGAAAAAATTAAAACGTATATTAAACTAATCTTTTTTATGTATAATCTTTTATCCAATAATTTATAAACTAAATGTGTTTAAACCCACTTATTAAATAGAGTCGTCTTGTTTTTTTTTCTTAAAGATTTTTTTATTAAAAATCTATGTACTTTGATGTAGGGTCTTGTTTTCGGTGGAAAGTAAAACATGATCTCTTTCAAGAGTTGAATGCTGGACAATTGAACCCAACATTTCTGTTGATAAGAGAGTTAAGTGAATTTTGCCCCATTTTACGACCTTTCTTGGCAGAGTTATTCAGTGAATCACTGCAGTTGTTAAGTTGGTAACACAGTTGTTAAGTGAATTTAATTTCCCCATTGACTTTGCTTGTCAGAAGGTCATAAAATGTGATCATATGACTTCAGGACAGTCCAACATTCAGAAATACATACCAGTTGCCAAGTGTCTGAATTTTGATCACATGACTGTGGGGATGCTGCAATGGTTGTAAGTTAAGTGTGAAAAATGATCATAAGTCACTTTTCAGTGCTGTTGTAACTTCAAATGAATACTAAATAAACTGTTATAAATTGAGGACCATCTGTATTTCTCCATGATAAACTCTCCTAGCTGCCATGACAAACTCAGCCTCTGAAGATAAACTTTACTTAGATATTTTGGGTGGAGTGCCCATAACAATAATAGAGTTGGAAGGGATCTTGGAAGTCTTCTAGTCCAACCCCCTGCTCAGACAGGAAACCCTATATACCATTTCAGACGAATGGTTGTCCAATCTTTTCTTTAAAACTTCAATGTTGGAGCATTCACAACTTCTGGAGACAGGTTGTTCCACTGATTAATTGTTCTAACTGTCAGGAAATTTCTCCTTAGTTCTAGGTTGCTTCTCTCTTTGGTTAATTTCCATCCATTGTTTCTTGTCCTGCCTTCAGGAGCTTTGGTGAATAGCTTGACTCCCTCTTCTTTGTGGCAACCCCTGAGATATTGAAACACTGCTATCATGTCACCCCTCGTCCTTCTCTTCATTAAACTAGACATACCCAATTCCAGCAACCATTCTTTATGTTTTAGCCTCCAGTCCCCTAATCATCTTTGTTGCTCTTCTCTGTACTCTTTCTAGAGTCTCAACATTTTTTTTTTACATTGTGATGACCAAAACTGGATGGAGTATTTCAAGTGTTGCCTTACCAAGGCATTGTAAAGTGTTATTAAAACCTCACATGATCTTGATTCTATCCCTGTTAATGCAGCCTAGCACTGTGTTGGCTTTTTTGGCAGCTGCAGCACACTGCTGGCTCATATTTAAATGACAGTCCACTAGAACTCCGAGATCCCTCTTACAGTTACTACTACACCTATACTGTACCTGTGCATTTGGTTTTTCTTGCCTAAATGTAGAACCTTACTTTTTTCATCCCTGAATTTCATTTTGTTAGCGTCCAATGTTCAAGTCTTTCAAGATCCTTCTGTATCTTAAGCCTATCTTCTGAAGTGTTGGCTTGTTCCCCTGGTGGACGAGTGAAACAGAGCAAAGGAGACAAGCGAACATGTTGGCTATTTCTACCAGCTTAGTGTCATCTGCAAATTTGATGATTTCCCCATCTATCCCCTTATCCAAATCATTGATGAAGATGTTGAAGAGCACTGGGCCAAGAAGAGAGCCCTGGGGCACCCCACTACACACTTCCCTCCATGTAGATGCAGTTCCATTGAGGACCACACACTTAGTATGGCCAGTCAACCAGCTACAAATCCATCAGGTGGTGATGCTGTCTAACCCACATTTTTCTATCTTGTCAAGTAGTAGGTCAGTGGTGGCGAACCTATAGCATGCGTGCCAGAAGCAGCACTCAGAGCCCTCTCTGTGGGCACATGCGCCATGCCCGGGAGATGGCAACCATCTCTCTTCAACCAGCCTGCTGCTAACTCGCCAAGGTCTCACATGGCCAGATGCATCCTGGCACGGCTGGTTTCCCTCCCTCCCGTCCTGTCCTTCCTGGTCTTGCATGCTCTCCTTTTCCCGGGTACAACCCACTGCATCGCCTCCTCAGCCATCGACTGGCCATTCAGCTCAGAGGTGGCTTCTTTGAACTGCTAGCAGTGGGCTGTGGAGTCCCAGAGTGCGCCGGTCGAGGGGCCAGCAAGCTGTGGCTGCTGACGGACACCGTCGGCCCCCATGTGCTCGCTGGCCTCTATGTGCGGGGGCCGATGGTGTCAGGCAGCAACCACCCCGGCCCTTGCCTTGCCCCATGGCAATGACACTCCTACCCTGCCTCACCTCACCCCGTAGGACGAGCCTCCTGTCTACCGCCCCACCTGCCAGAGACCCTCTGGATCTCCCCCAACCCTGCCCACCCCCACAGGCATCCCTCCCCACGAGCAACATTGAGATGACCATGCCCACCTTGGCCACACCCACCCAATCTGCCATGACCACCACAGCCATGCCCATCCAGTGGGCTATGCCCACCTGGCACCCGGCAATAAATAAGTGGGTTTTGGGTTGCAATTTGGGCACTCGGTCTCTAAAAGGTTCGCCATCACTGTCATAGGGGAATCTGTGATAGACAGATGAACCTATGGCTGTGGTGGCGAACCTATGGCATGCGTGCCACAGGCAGCACACGGAGCCGTCTCTGGTAGCATGTGAGCCATTGCTGGGCCGAGCTGTTCCCTCCTCTCCGCGCATACACAGTCTGGGAATAGGTGAGAGGCTATAAAAGGAGCAACCTTCGGCGGAAGCAGCATTTGCTGCAGACAGCGAGAAAGCGAGCACAAGTCGGAGTAGACAGCGAGCAAGTGAGCACAAGCCGACAGCTCGGTGGCCAGGCCCACCCGGCACCTGGCGATGCATAAGTGGGTTTTGGGTTGCAGTTTGGACACTCGGTCTCTAAAAGGTTTGCCACCACTGTAGTAGGTTGTGGTCTACTTTATCAAATGCCTTACTGAAGTCCAAGTAAATTATATCCACAGCATTCCTCTGGTCCACTAGTTTTGTCACCTGGTCAAAGAATGCAATAAGATTTGTCTGGCATGATGTGTTTTTGACAAACACATGTTGTCTTTTGGTTATAACTTTGTTTGCTTCTAGGTGTTCGCTGATTCGTTGCTTGATTATGTCTGCCAATTCCTTCAGAACCTTGGGGTATAATCCATCAGGTCCTGGTGATTTGAACTTGTCTAGGGTGGATAGGTGTTCACTTACCATTGTCTTGCCTATTTTAACTTGTGTTTCTAATCTGTTTTTTACGGTATGTTTTGATAGATTGCACTGTTTTTTCCCTTTGTGTAAAGACGGATGCAATAAAACAAGTTAAGTAGTTCTGCTCCCTTACACGTAGTCTTCGTGTCACAACCACATCCGGAATTAGCAACTCAGTTAAGAGAAGTGGTCACTAAGTCAAACCATGACTATGTTTATGATCTTATTTTAGCTTTCCTTTGCTTTATATACTTATGAAGGTCGTAAATGCAAGGATTGGTTCCAAATTACTTTTTTGTCACTGTCATAACTGTGAATGATCCATGTAGGAGGCAATCACTAAGCAAGGACAACCTGTAGAGGTGTATAGTTCTTCATCCAACTTACTCATATCTTGCTATGTTCCATTTATCCTCTCATTAGACTGAAAGAGTGGTGATGTGATACGAAGCAGAAAGCTGCCTCCCTGAACTTTTAACATTCCAAATACATCGGGTTGAATATCATCTATCTCAAGCCAGGATAATCAGGAGATTGCTGTTAATTCGAATCAGAGGTTTTTGAAATACTGTATTCTGGGGAACATTAGGATCCTTCAGTCAAGTTAAGGTCCCACTTACACTTGGGAGAAGGAATTTGGAAAAGGAATTCGGGAGGATTCTGAAGTCATTCCATTTCATTAGCCATAACCAAGCAAAAATACCCTATCCACCGATGAAGAAATGTCATGCCTACCCATTTAAATAAAGGGAAAATTACGGGAAAGATTATTTCTAAAAACATGTTGTGTTTTATAATATATTCCTTTAAAAAGAAAAAAGTGACTCGTCATAGCAGTTCTTTAATCATTTTAATCTGGTTCTGCAGCTCGGTCGCCTTGAAAAGACGGCGAAAGAGTAACATTGACTCTGTCAAACTGTGAAGGCCGCTCCCACTCAGGGGAAGCATAAGGGAGAGGCCGAGAGCGGGGCGAAAGAACCGAGGCAAGCTGTGATTGGTTCGCTGTTCTACATATCAATTAGGGGCGGGAGGCAGGACCACCACAACCACGGGCGGCGGAAGCGAGGAAACGCACGCGCGCCTGGTCGCTTCCCAGGGATGAGTCGCCCCTTTTCCCGGCATCCTTTCTGATTGGGTTTCCTGGCACTCTGCTAAGACGGAAATAGTCCAAGATGATGGCGGTCGTTATTCCTCTCCGTGCTTTCTCAGCGAGGTCTGCCCGGATAGCGCTCGCCTCGATGCTGCTGCTTATAGCGCCGGGTCTCGCTTTGGCCGGGAGGAATCAAGTCAAAGTACTGACTGACGGAGCGTGGCAAGAACTGCTGCAGGGCGAGTGGATGGTGGAATTGTGAGTCCTCGAGGGCGGAGAAGCAGCTCTTTTCCCAGAATCGTGGGATTGGGAGGGGACCTCAAGGGTTCATCTAGTCCAGCCCTCAAGAAAGGAGAGCTGCTCAGGGCTACTCCGCTCCACCGTTCGCTAGTCTCCTTCGCTCTGTTTCTCTCGTTCACCAGGGGAACAGGATGTTCTGATCCTCCTATCTCCTCTTTGGGGTTATCTATCTAATGATCATGAGAAGTGTTTGTCAATCTTGGTTACTTTAAGATGGGTGGACCTCAACTCTCAGAATCCCCAGCCGGCTTACATGCATATGTATGCATGTTGCTTGGGGAATTCTGGGAATAGACGTCCATGGATCTTAAAGTAACCAAAGTTGACAGATGTGGGTCAAGGGGAATTTTGTACCCTTGATTTGGTAATTCTTTGGGGGAGGGGAGTTTCTGCCTACTATGTCTGAGTGAGAGGAACTCTGCTGTTTCAAGCCAGCCACTGTTCTGCGGAAGTGAAAGCAGAAGCACATAGTTCCAATTTTTGAATGAAACAAAAAATGAGTAGGCCAAGACTGGTGTCTTTCAGTGTGTTAAACCCTAAATGCCCTGTTTTCCCCATGCTTTGTTTAGTGCAATATATCACATTTTTCTCCCTCAACTCAGCCACTGCCGATGTACTGACCTGTGCTTCCAGTCTAGGCAATTAAGAACAGGAGTCCCTGCTTCCCATCAGCACCACTGTATGTGCTTCCCCCTCCCCAACTCCCAATGGTTTGTGACTGCAGGCAAAACAGATCATTTGTTCCATGCATGGACCAAAATATGAGTTTTTTGATTTGGCACAAATCACCTAAAACTGTTTTGTGCTTGAAACAGTTAATGTACAGAATGTTGTATACATCTCTAGTACTTGGTTGTTGAAATACTCCATGAGTATTCAAGAGCATTATGCCTCCTATTACTGAATTATTTTAATAAGGTTAATGAATTGTCATATGAAGGAAGATAATGTAATAAACAGCCCTGCAAGGCATGTCATAGAATCCAGTGAAGCTGATCAAGATTTTATGACTGCAAGCTGCTTTGTATTTCTGAGTGAGAACCTCAATGGTTTGTTTACTTCAGAATATTACCTCTGTTGAAATTCTTGAGCAAAGAGGCTTTTTTAGCTATCACAACTTTATATTCATTGAATTAGATATACCAAAGAACAAAGTAGGAAGATTTTGTGTGCAGGGCATAACTTCTTCCCTTAAAATTATGCCTTTTAATCTTGAATATTTCTTATACTGTAACCATTTTTGCTCTATTATCATAGTCAGATGGTAGGAACTACAGTTTCCATAAATCATATTAGAAATATATAGCAAGTATATACCCCAAAATACCTGTAGTTTTTATTCTCAGATAAGAAAGAAAAGGTTTTTTTTCTCTGTATAACAGTTGGTTACATAGCATTTATTTTTCAGCTATGCTCCTTGGTGTCCTGCCTGTCAGAATTTACAGCCAGAATGGGACAGTTTTGCCGAATGGAGCGAGGATCTTGAAGTGAACATTGCCAAAGTAGATGTAACAGAGCAGCCAGGTAAGTTTTCCAATGTGAATTGAATAATGTAAAGCATGTTTTATTATTTTAGAGTAAGTTATGCACAGTTGCAAGTCTGAGGCGCGGTGGCTCAGTGGCTTAATGACGCTGGAGATGGTCTCTGCTGCATTGGTTTAAGCCCTAGCAGTGCGTGGAGGAGTAAACTCCCATTAGTTGCCTCAGCTTTTGCCCATCTTGCAGTTCAAAGGGATATTCTATAGGAGTAGATAAATAGTGGGAGATGTTATTTGGTCGGAGATGAGTTGAGGCAGTCAGTGCAGTCACTCAGATTTCTGCTTTCTCTGAACCTTCCTTCCCATTTGTGAAGCAATTCCAGAGGAGGGAGGGGGACTCAGATGCTGCTGCAGGAAAAGCCACTCATCTTTCTGTTGTGAAGCCAGCTTGCCCTCCTGTGGTGGTGCACCATGGGAAGTGTGCAAGCATTTATCTGATAAGAGCTGGTAAATAGGCAGTCAAACCACTACTATGCATTAGCACTGTAGTCTCCTGGTTAATGTAACAATGCCATATAATAATAATAATAATAATAATAATAATAATAATAATAATAATAATAATAATAATAATAATAATAATAATATAATAATAATAATAATAATAATAATAATAATAGTTGCAAGGTTTTTCTCCAACCTGAAATTTGCCTTCAATACTTTTATTTATTATTTATTTATTCAACCTATATGCTGTCCATAGGGATGCAATGACTCAGCAGTTAAAGATGTTTAGCTTACCTGAGTTTAAGACCCAAATGCTATGCAGTGTGGTGAGCTCCAATTACTTGCCCCAACTCCTGCCAACCTAGCAGGTCAAAAGCATGCAAATGCAAGTAGATAAATAGATACCACTTCAGTAGGAAGGTAACAGCATTCAGCGTGCCTTGGCATTACCATGGAAGTGTCTTTGGACAGTGTTGGCTCCCTGGGCTAAGAAACAGAGATAAGCAGCACCCCCCCTAGAGTTGGACTCAACTGGATAGGCAAAATCTTTACCTTTATATGCTGCCCATCTTTTCTGGTGCCAATTGTAGGCAACTTACATTAAGTGTATTCATAATGCAATTGTACGTAGCCTCAGGCTTTTTCCATCAGATAGCTTCACACTGTGTTCTGAGGATGCTGATAATTCTTCAGAAACTTTTTGGGAATTTCCTAGTGAGAAGTAAATTAATTTTGTAAACTCTTTCAGGAGTCAGTTTGGACTACTAGCATGCCTGCACTGAGGGTAAATAAAATAGGATTATGAATTCTCTACTTTATCTCTCTGAACCATCTAATTAGTTGACAAACTGATGAGGAAAGTTTTTTGGAACAAAAGTCTTTAATAAGATATATCATTTTAGTAGTGAGAGTTATATGTGGAAAGTTTTGCATTCAGAATTATTCCTCTGTTGCCTGGTGCAAATTACATGGAATTAGGAACTCCCAATTTTATATGTCATATAGAAACAATAACAACTGTTGATTTGCTGAAACATTATGTGTGCTGCTATTGTTCCAACTTTAAAAAAAAAACATGATATGTCCTGGGAAAATGGAATAATGTAATAGCTTGGTAACAGAATATACAGTAGTACTTCAATAGCTTTATTATGAGCTGAATAGGGTAATGGCTGATAACATGTTTGAAAAGTGAAACAATTTTATCCTCTGGAAAGTTCTGACCAGTTCCATTTTTGTCTGCCTGTTGAATTTTTCATAAAAATAATATAATATATAAGAAACAGATGGTTTTTACTTATCCAGTTCTGGGTATGGTAATAGATTGTTTATAGGATGATGGGGATGGGATGGGGTGGTGTGGTCTTCAATAATGTTACTTGTAACCTTTGTCTCTTTAAAAAAGTCACCTGCAATTGTATGCATAATTAAAATGAGGAAACTTAATTTGAGCAAAGTTAATGTATTTGTGACTGATTACCTTGAAATACATCTACCATAACGAACTCATTTTCTCTCTGGATCTTTATATAGGACTAAGTGGAAGGTTTGTCATAACAGCACTTCCCACCATTTACCAGTAAGTACTTTAAAACCAATTCAGTTGTTATAACTCCTGTGACCAGGAGTTCTAGTCCCATGTCCAGCATGAAAGCCTGCTGGGTGACTTTTGGCCAGTTGCTCTCTCTCAGTCTACCCCACCTCACAGGGTTGTTGTGGGAAAAATAGGAGGAAGAAGGAATGTTAGATGCTTGCCATCTTGAGTTGTTTATAAAAGTAATAAAGGTGGGATATTAAATAAATAAATCCATCAGGTAACCTTGTCTATAGTGTTGCTAGGTGAGAAATTAGGAGAATTTTAAGTGCTTGACATGGCTCTTATTTTGGACAGTTGTAAAGATGGAGAATTTAGACGGTACCAAGGTTCCCGAACTAAAAGTGACTTTATCAATTTCATCAGTGAGCAAGAATGGAAGTCTGTTGAGCCTATTTCTTCATGGCTTGGACCATCTTCATTTCTGTAAGTATCAGCAGGAATCTTTCTGCTCCCTGATAGGCTTGGGAAACAAATGCAAAAAAACCCCTTGAATTCTGACTTTAGATGAATCTAGTTAATTTACAGATGATGACTGTAGTCATCAGCACTGATTTAGGCAAGTTACCTGGGAAATTTTAACCCTAACTGTTCCCTCCCCCCCATGTATGTATGTGTATGTATATGTCCTACCAAGTTTAATCATTTATGAAGCTGACACCAAGTTAAGATCTAAACTAATGATTTCTGAAAACAGTTACGATCTTGATTGAGTCTAATTATTTTATATTTTCATTCTTTTTCTTTAAGATGCTTAGGATAACAAAATAGGTCGTAGGCAGTTGTTCTATTTTATTCTGCACGGGTCTATTACCACCTCATGTACTGGGCCCAGTTGTGAGCACCTCACTTAAAAAAAACAGAATAGGTTCAGAGAAAGAAAGTCAATGAATATGGTCAGGGGACTAGTAATCTTTTGAAGAGGAGTTGGGTCTGTTTAGGTTTGAAAAGAAAAGATGACATTTGAATTCTTAGCTGAGGTTAGAGTAGCAATAGCAATAGCACTTAGACTTATATACCGCTTCACAGTGCTTTACAGCCCTCTCTAAGTGGTTTACAGCAGTTTATTGCCCCCAACAATCTGGGTCCTCATTTTACTGACCTCGGAAGGATGAAAGGTTGAGTCAACCTCGTACACTATGTCCAAGCCGTATCTCCAATGCATTAAGTAAGTAATTCTGTCAAAAAGACATAACTTTAATTGGGTTTGTGTCCAACCCACATTGTCTCTTATTGTTACATTCCTATCCATGGTTCACAGATATGTTGTTTAATAGTCTGAGGATCCCACCCAGTAAAACATCAAACTGGGAGATCTTTGTTTCCTGTGGTGTCTTCCTCCCCTTGTTTGAGGATAGGGGCATTTGTTCTCCTGCAGTCTTTGGGATGGGACCTTTGCCAGTTTTTTCAATGCCAAGAACATAATTCATTTGGCTTCAAAGATTTGAGTTCATTTAAATGTTTCTTCTTGTATATCTGAGTTGCAGTTCCTTTATCTCACTAGTAGCAAAATGGTAGCCAGCAAAGGTTTTGTTTCCCTTCAGAGTGAAAACAGATATAAAATCTTAAGATAGTTTGCTTTCTCTTTTTTACCTGTTACTAATTCATCCCTTTCTGAATTAGAGACTTAGAATCTATCATTTCAGATACATCCCCCAATCACCTTTTGTTGTTGTTTTGGGAACTTTTTGCAAGTCTCAAGCTCATTGTGTGACTACCATACTTTCTCCTTTGATTATAGGGCTTTCCTATTCAGGCCCTTTTTTCTTCTTCTTTTCAACATTGCAGAAAACTCTGTTTGTTTCTACGTTGATTTCTTTAGGTGTCTTCCAATTTTTCTTCCAATAGGAATCATTTACAATTAGGTTTCATTTATAGTTGAACATGGGAATTGATTACGTTGCAGTCAGATGGAAATTGCATGAGCAACTTTAATAGAAGTTAAATGCTGAATCCCAAATGGGCTGCTTAGATCACTGAAATCCACTGAAAGTTCTTTAATTGTAAATTTTATTTTTGCCTCTTTGGTTATAGAATTACCCCTTATTTCTTTGCAGGATGAGCAGCATGTCTGCCTTATTTCAGCTTTCCATGTGGATTAGGGTACGTACCACATCATTCTTTAAGTCAGAAGAGATATTAGGTTTGAGCTTATTTATTAAATATATATATGGCTGCCCAACTCACTCGTGGTGATTCCAGATGGCTTACAGAGTTGCTGTCCAGCTAATTTCCAAATTTGTTTTTCTCCCTTTCAGCAATGTCACACTTATTTCACAGAAAACCTTGGTATACCAAACTGGGGATCCTATGCAATTTTTGCATTTGTAACTTTGTTTTTGGGGCTGCTGCTAGGCCTTGTAAGTAAACATTTCTCTTTGCACTCAGAATTAAAAGGAGAAGATAAAGCTTGAATGCAATATTGAAGAATGTTGGTTTTCTTTTCAGATCATGGTGTTTCTGGCCGATTGTGTTTGTCCCTCTAAAAAGCAAAGGCCACACCAGCACCTTCATCAGAGTAAGTATATTGCATGCCAAGTGCATCTCTTCTCGGAGTGAGACAAGAAAAGGGAGCTTTAAGCATTGAGCCAGTCTTGAAATTCTCACCTTTGTGTGGCTTTGTTTTTCATTTTATTTTCCTGTCTTAGTATGTTATCCAAGTTTTTCCAAAATTATAAATCATTTAAGTAATTAAACTGCCTGTTAATTAAATAATGGCACTTAACTTTTTTTCTCTTAGCCCTTCCCACTTTCAACAGCACCACTCAGTGATCAAGTGTATCTCTTAGTTCTTATTCCTAAACCAGCAAGAATAGAGGGAGGCTAGTTTAAGCAAACTCCTGTTAAAAGGAGATAGAAGTGCTATTATGTCTGGCTGGGTATCTTATATAACAGTGCAAGGATTCATCAAGAGCTGCAGAAGATTTCTGATTTTGTCTGAAGATGCGTTAGTGGTTACTGAAGGGCAGATGAGGGAATAGCTTCACCTAAGTTTGATAAAAATCAACTATTAACTTTCTGGTCCTAACAAGGTTATGCAACTTAAAACACTGATGCTCTGTGGCCTAAAAGTCGTACTCCTCACAAAGAAGAATACAAAGTCAGAGAAGAAATAATGACATTCTCTTGAGTGGGACCCAGCTGAAGATCAAAATTTTAGCAAGTGTCAGTCTTAGAGTAAACTTCACCACTCCAGGAAATCATGAGCAGGCTTTAGCAAACAGTTCTTTTCCACCTCTTATATTTAGGATTGGCATATGCTACCTAGCCTTATAAAATTCATATCAGAATCTTATCCATGCAATGGTTTAAATCCTGAGTTGCTACGTTGCTCACAGACAGAAGTAAGGGGAAGTAATTTATTTATTTCTTAGACTCATATCTTACTTTTCCTCCATGAATTCAGTACTTGGGAATCTTAATTTTATCTATGCAGCAAATTCCAGGAATGAAGTGGTGCAAAAGAGATTGACCCAAAGTCACCCAATCCATAGTTCAGGATGGATTTGAAGCCTGATTATGCTCTAGCAACTTAACTATTACAGCAACTGTCTCTCTAGAGCCAGGAGCATGTATTTTTCCCTCTCATTCACAGAGGGGAAACAAAGCCATTTTATTGTCCTTTATAAACTCAGGACCTCTATTCCAGGGGTCATCCACCTCCCTGGTTCTAGAATGATTATATAAAATTGCAGAGGAAAATCAATGAAAATTGATGGTCTTTAATCACACTTTTATCAGTGAAAGTGTCCTATGAGTGGATTTCCACTGGCATGAATTTAAAACCAAATTAACGTTTGTACTCTGTTTTAAAAACCATTAAGGTATTCTGCAAGTTGCTTTTTGCTGCATGACGTCTGCAGAACCGGAATGTAACGCTTGCATTAACGAAGCTAAAATCCCACACAAATTTTGTTTTTAAAATGATTGTTTCTAAACTCAGTTGGATTGTTACCTTCCACAGTTCTAGCATAAGTTGTGCAAGTTGAGTTTAATGGTAACTGCAATCCAACCTTTTTGTTAAAAGTGGGCAGCATGATTTCTGGGAACTCTGGAGATACTATTAAAGATATTTGAGTGGGTAGGAGTAGTCACTTTCATACTATATGTGCAGATTGTTCGCCCTGCTTCTTCACCACCTAAACAGGGGTCCCCAACCCCCGGTCCGTAGACTGGTATCTGCATGCCAGCAACCGGTCTGCACAAACAAGCAAAGCCCATCTGCGGGATACAGGCAGCACACAAAACCACGCACCCTCCGATCCGCGGAAAAATCTCTCTCCACGGAACCGGTCCCTGGTGCCCAAAAGATTGGGGACCTCTGATCTAAAGAGATGAATGGCAATGCTGAATTTTCTTCTCTTTTTAGGAAAGCTACCAGAATCTGCTCAGCATTTGAAAAAAAAAAGCGAAGGACTTGATGGAGTCAATCTTGATGGTGGAATGGACCGTGGAGATCCAGGGTACCCTGTTCCTCCACCAAACCCAGTGAGACAACGCGTCGCAAAACCAGCTTCTGAAGCAGAACAGTCATAGCTCCTGCCATCTTCTGGAGTTCCTGGGTGGATACCTGATGTTCAAATATGCAGGTGGGCAGGAGAGGAAGGGGAAGTCCTCCTCTTCTACCTCCCAAGAGAATCAAGACTCAGCATCGTTTTGAGATGGTGAAAAACTGTTTCTGAATCTTTCAGTGGGACAAGTTTAAAGTGTGTGATGGAAATGCTTTACATGTCTCCCTGAGACAGGTCTGGGAGGTGCAAAGGGTTAATTTGCCGATGGCACAGTGAACTCCAGAATTTGGATGAGTTCCCAGTTTCTAGTCTGCAGTGCTGGGACAAACATTGGGTCCCAAAAGCAGATGATCCCTTCTGACAAAGCCTTTCTCTCCATATAGAAATAACCCAGAAGGAAAAAGCTTTCTTTCATTACTCGTTTGGATCCCAGCTCAAGAGGTTTGCTTTTCCAAGTGCAAAAATACAAAAGGCCTTTTTCATTCTGACTAATAATAATAATAATAATGAATCCTTCTAGCTAATTTTAGAAACCCAGGAAGATTTGAGGCCCAGATTTTTGAACAGCAGCTGATTCACCCCCCCCCCCCAAAAAAAACTGGATCCCATGGCAAAGAGTTTTTTTGTTTTTGTTTTATGAGGTTATTATGTGAGAAGCTATTGTTCAAAAGCGAAAGAGCCCAAAGTATCCCTTTTGCCTGGCTTGAACTCCATCCTGTTCCCCAATGTTGCTTGATTAGGCACATCAAGCTTCTTATGCAGTTAATTGGCAGGAAAAAAAAAGTAATCATGTAAAGTTAGTTTAGTTATCTTATTCCTAATAGCTTAAAGACTAAGAAGTTTATTAGATAATCCTGTAGGGAGGGATGCCATTGTTAGCATAGTTGTCAGTTTCTTTCCCCGATTAAATTTTCTGCTTAGATCTTTGAATAAATTTTCATTTTTATCAGTATTTCAGGACATATGGATTCTTGCAGCAACTTCCATCAGCATACCACAAAGCCAAGAAATTCTGGTAGCTATCATTTTTCATTTGTTTCCTTTCCTTTTAGTTCTGTTTCCTAAGACGCAACATTCTCAGAAAGTTTTCTGACATTACCTTCTTTTTGTATCACAAAAAGCCACTTTGACAATATTTTTGCTTAATCAAAATTAATCCCCAAGGAGGAAGACTCAATGGTCACTTGATATAGCTGGCTAGTCTGCCTTAACCACATGTTGACAAATTACATGTTTTTTTGATTAGCTTGAAAAGTTTTAATAAAATAAGATTTTTTTTAAGTTTGAAAAGCTTTTTTTTTAAAAAAACCAGGATATTTCCTTGCAAAGGCCTTAGCTTATAAGTAGAATACAGTGCAATTGGCTTAAAAAGCAGGCTTAGAGCAGTTTAATTTTGTATAAAATAATATTTTTTCCCTTCTTAAAACTTTCTTTATATTCTCATGAAAACTAGGAATTACTTGTCATTGTTTTCTGAACCCTGCCCGAGTTTCGATGTACTAACAGGGAACTCACAGATCATGCCATTGCTTGTTTTTCCATTTGCATTTTCTGTATGGGCAAAAAAAAAAAAAGATTTAATGTTTTCTTCCAAAGATGTTAAAAATCAGGTGCTGGCCAGTAAGCAGCCATCTCCTCTCCAGCTTGCTTGTTTCCTTAAAAAGTCTTCCAGCCATTGGGAATCAGGTTCTTTGGCTCCTGTGTAGGTGTGTTTGCCTCTGCCACAAAGAATTGACTCAGTTAATTTTTTTTTCCTCTCTACCCCAGCTGTGGTATGAATTTTTAAGAACGTTTTGAAAAGTGTCTTGTTTGTATTCAGCACCTGAGACAAGGATATGCAAAGAGGTTGTGCTGTTGGTCGATTTTGTCTTACATTTAACCGGGTCTGTGTTAATTGATTGAAACAAGCTTCTCAGGTGCCAGTTCTTGTTTCACAATGGCCACAAACTGGCAAATGGGACTTTCATACTGAAGCATTGAAGTTAATGCATCTTTGCTTTAACGCGATCTATATGGAGAATCAGTAGGGGTGCTTGAAAGCAGTCTGGCGTCATTCTTGGGGGAAGTGGGTTGTGCAGTCCAGTCTATGAGAAATTGCTGCTAACCTCCAGGGTGTTCCTGCTAGCAACTCATCTGCTGCAGTTGCCCCTAAGAGCTCCACTGAATCTGAAGCTAGTTGAGGTTTTCTTGAACTGGAGATACTTCTCCTCCCTGTAGCAGACATCTGGATTTCATTGTTGAGCTTCTCTCTCAACAATCTCTCTGGTCAGCACTTCCTCCTCTGAAAGCAACCTTCAGTGCAGAGTAAGTTGTCACACAATGGGGGGATAAAGTTCTACACCTATCTGTTCCTTATTATGCTCTCCTTTTGCAAAAAGGTGTCTTTTTACAGAGCAGGCAATACATAAGCAATCTAAAGTCAAAAAGTCCTTTCTTACAGCTTGTTCAACATTTGTGAGCTGGCAATTAAATAACCTTTTAAACAAATTCAGATATGCAGGAGAGAAAGGGTGAGATGGGGGGAGGTCATGTCTGAGGACTATGCTGTGATGAAGGAATTGTTCATCTGTTTAGTCTTTGAATAAGCCAGTTTAAAGAGAGACTAGCAGCCCTTGTTAATTCTCCAAGGATGTAAAAGCATGTTCAGTATTCAGCTGTTAAGCTAATGTGTTCATTATAATTGGTAAGTGTTTTTTGTCCCCTTAAGGAAACATTTCCAAGTAATAAAGTTATCTCCATGTCTGGAATCTTATTTATTTGTAGCTTGATCATTCTTTAAGGGTCACTTTTAGTATCCTTAGTTGGATAGATGAATGTACCGTGTTTCCCCGAAAGTAAGATCTACCCTGAAAGTAAGCCCTAGCTTGATTTTTTTTGGGGGGGTGGACTTAATATAAACCTTACTCCAAAAATAACCTCTAGTTTTGGAGTGAGGCCCACGGCTAAAAATCAAGCTGGGGGGGGGGTTGGAGCTGCTCCTCACGCCCCGCACCCGCTTACCAGTAGGACTGCCACAGCCAGGCCTCCCATGCCCCAACACTTGTCGCGCAGCGTGGCTCATCACACTGTGCCACAGTTGCGGCAGGAGGCCGCACAGCGCTTTGGGCCATTGCTGTTTGCGGCAGAAGGTCGCATGGTGCTTCACGTAATTGCTGCCTCTCGTGGCACGGAGCTTCAGGCCATTGTGAGAGGCCGCCTTCTGCCACAGATTCCCTCCCATAGACCGGTACGCTCCCACAGAGTGGGTCTCCTCAGGGTGCCGTCGGCCAAGCAATGTCGGCTGGCGACCCCCAGGGGGAGGGCCTTCTCTGTGGGTGCCCCTGCCCTCTGGAACGAACTACCCCCCGAGATCCGGATGATTCCGGATCTCCTTACTTTCCGCCGCGCCCTC